CGTGTTGGTGTTCTCAGCCTGTAAAATGGGGAAAGATCTCCATACTAACATTATCCTTTCCAAAAGAAAACATTGCACACCTGCCACGATAGCTAATGACTGGGCAATATAATGGTTGTCATGGCTTAAAAATGCAGGAATGGAAATGGGAAAGAATTCCAAACTCCCAGAAGCAAAAAGCCAAAGAAAGTCAAAAACTTACTGCTGAATATGGTGCAGCTGAAAGATAATAAAAGATTCCTTAAACTGGGCATAACAACTGGACAAAAGAAAAACAAAGCTTCCCAAAATGTGTCTGTTTGGTTTTATTATGGGATCGACTGCTGTCTGCCAGCCTATTTTAAAGTCAACATTTCACAGCAAGAAACTATACAGTAATGTATCACTTCTCGGCAGGCACTTCCTTTCACTGACAAATGGTTCAAGTGGAATGATGGCCTAAACAGAATTACCCAGAGGGGGGATGGCGTTGATGAAGAAGGATCTATATGAGTGTATTTATTTATAGATACATACACGTGCACACAGCCTATTGTGTGGACCAGCTTGTTATTGTGGAAATTATCTGCATAAAAATGCAAAGCTACAGGAGATGTTTTAAGTCAGGAAAAAAATAATCTGACTGTGATGCTAATTTATTCCATTCCCAAGGGGGATACCCATAACCCCTTCAATCTCAAAATCACCACCTCTTCCAGTGGCTTTAATGTATAGTAGTTAGCATCTCTAGTTAGCACTACTAGCTTTACCTTTTCCTAATTTTTCTAAGTAGGAAAACAGAAAACAGATCTTTCCAAAGCTCACCACAGAGCTCCCAACTACAAGCTGAAGCACATTTTTTTTTCCTGAGGCAGGGAATAAAAATGCACCCTAATGTAAACGGCTGATACAATGCCAATGCACCAATTTATGCTTCAGCTAAATTCTTAACTTAGCACTTATGTAAGACATTAGACTTTTATAGGGCTTGGACCAAGGTATGAATTTCATGGGGAACTCACTAATTTGAGAAAACAACTGAGTGTGCTCTTTGGTATGAGAAACCAGACCACGTATCCATTGGGGAGAGATGAAGGAAGATAAGATTCTATTTTTTCAGCTTTGTGAAATGTTTTTCAGATTTCCTCACTTAAAGTAATCTCAGTATCAACAAAGTTCCAGAATAAAATTTTCAACCTGCTCTCTAGTTAAAATGCTGAGCCTTTCCCCTCCTTAGAAAAAAACACATTGCATACATTTCCAACTATCTCTGTTACAACTCTGCCAATTTTTTGAATGCTTAGAGTTGCACTGCATCTGCTTATTCCCCACCAGGGCTGGTGAATGAATTAGCACTAGAGCTCTGCTATTTTTCTTTTATCCAGTAGTTACACTTCTGTGAAACTGCCATTTTAGAAATACATTAATTCAAGGATGTGAAATGTAGCTTAAACTAACAGGTTTTGTAGGCTCTACATTTGAGCCAAAATGCATACTTAACGAGGACACCAGGAAATTATGCACTTCTTGTCAGAGTTTCATTAATGACTTGGGATTGCAATTTTGGGGTAATCAATATAAAACAGCAAAACCAAGTTTGATTTTTCAGGAGGTGAGTGCTCTGCACGCCCTCCAAAAAAAATATCTCCGTTGGGTCTCCATAATGGAGGCCCTCAAAAAACATTAGTATGTTTAAATAAAAAAAGAGCTTTTCTTTTTTTTTTTTTTTTTTTTTTTTGCCTTTTCAGATTATCATAAAATTGCATTTATCCTATGAAATGAAGACATTTCTGAATATTCAGGAATGACTCTGCAGACTGTGATCAAATCTATTTGCAATAAGCTGAAATAATTAAACTTGCAAAAGATCAGCTCCATATAGCTCCAAAAGTAAAATCTGACTGAGGAGATTTTTTTGCCACACTAATTAACAACAAAGTAGTGGCATTATAGAAATAAGACTACAATCCACCCTGCTACAGAGTCCACCTAACACAGAGTTTAGCCTCTGAAAACATGCCTGTAAAATTTGATCTTTTTATTTGGGAAGATAGTTTCTTTGGATATCTTAAACAAAACGGAGGACCATGGGCAGAGCCTTAGGTATGCCTCCACTTCTGACTGCTAGGAATAATGTAAAAAGATAAAGAGTTTTAAGGAATTGGAAAGACTTCTATTTTTTCCCCTCTCATGCACTACTGAATGCATTTAGCTGTCCATTCACTTTAATAAACACACAGCAGAGGATGCAGCTGGGAGTCTTTGTCAAAATCACTGAGGATAGCCACAGTAGTTAATAAAGTTCAGTCCAATTTGGATAGCCCAATGCCAGATTTAATGTAAACACTTAATTAACAACATTGGCATTCGGCTCAACTACCATCACCGTCTGCTGCTACCTGCAAAGTTGTAATCAAATGTCCCCAGTTCTGCTCAAGTCCCTGGTATGACTCCTGTTGCTTCCCATGCATTCAGCATTGTAGGTGATTCATACCCTCTGGTCATGTATAGGGGAGGAAAAATCCCAGCTCAGAAAGGAAAACTCCAGACTCTGTGCTGGAGGTAAGAGGATTACCTTCTGTAAACCAGGAAACAGTAATTTAATCCACCTCTAGGTCAGGTACCAAATTATTTTCCCTTACATCAGTGACTCCTGGGAACTTCTTACAAATGCAGCCTCGCTTGGGAGAATTACCAATAGGCCATGCCATATGGTAAACCAATAAAATTGTTCCTCTTCAGAACAGGGCACCATAAAGAACCCCAAATACCCTCAAAGGAGCAGCAGCACCACACTCAGGATGTGATCCCTCACTGCTTCAGCCTCCTCCAGCTGCTCGGCAGAGCTGCTTCCAAACTGTGTGCTGCTTCTCCCTGCACTTGCAGGTGGTGCTGGGGGAGTAGGGCTAGAGCTGGTGCTGGGCTCCCTGCCTCCTGGCCAGCACTGCCTGGGGCTGCTTGCACCAGGAAAGCATGATGGAGGACATTTCATTCCATGTTTCCACTCTGGATCAGGAAACCGTGTGCCATGTTAAGTACTAGGAGATGAGTAGAGTGGGAAGCAGATTTCTCATGCTAACAGGCAAAGTGAAGGGGCTCAGAGGCTCAGACCCTCAACTTCACGTACAAGAATCTCAGCAATTTTGTTTTGTTTTAATTATTTTTCTGTGTTTCCTCGGTGGGAAGGTGGTTAATTACAATTTACATTCAAGACTCCAAAAAATTTAAACAACTCCCAGGCTGAACGTTGCCAAACTATGTCAATTAAAAATAAAATAAAATAAATACTAAGGTATTCTTATAAGAAGCACTGTTCAAAAAACCTGTGATCCAAGGAAAACGTGCCAGAAAAATGAAACAATAGGGGAAAATATCTTATTTCCTTCAAGAGCAGAGTAAAAATCCTAGGAATGCGTTCAGCCCAATTGCCGAGTGCTTCACGGCAACCTCCTTCTGCAGGTCATATTTTCCATTGCTCTCCTAAGAGGAGACTCCTTGTGTACACGTGGGCCCCAGCACAGCCCCAAGAGGCTTGGCCAGCGATGGGGCATCCACCACCTCTTTGGGCAACCTGTGCCAGTGCCTCACCACCCTGACAGTAAAAAACTTCTCTCCTAAATCCAATCTAAATCTCCCCTCTTTTAATTGGAAACCATTTCCCCTCGTCCTGTCACAACAGAACCTGCTAAAGATTTCATCCCCTTTCTTCTTCCATCCCTTTTTAGATATTGACAGGCTGTTATCGTGTCTCAGTTACTCATTAATTTACTCGCGTATCAGTGAGTAAATGTCTTTGCTTTTTAATTTCCTTACCTTTATTTGGTTCCTGAACTCCACAATGAAATAGATTTATTTTTTTTAATGTTAGTATTTAAGTTTGGGTTTTCAATTCTACCTGAGCACCCCACTGTGCTTACAGCACGGTAGTGGAGAGCTGGCTCTCTCAGCAGCTCTACCTTGTGGTGCACGTTGGGCAGGACCCATTTGCATTTGTGCTCCAGCTGTAATTAAGCCTCTAGACAAGGATCTGTTGCTGTCCCCTTCAGCTCTGTGCCTCCCTTTTCCAGACTAAAAGGTGCAGTGCTATCTCCACCCGGCCCTGCACAGGACGCGCTACTCCAGATCTCCCCAGCCCTGCCCAGCGGCAGTCCCGGACACGGCTGCAAGCAATAGCAGCGCTATGGGCAGCATCTGCCCCCCTCGCTGTGTGCACGAGAGGAAAGCGCTCTCACCACAACAGGATGTTGCAACGGGTACGCAGCTTTTCCTGGCCAGAGTGAAAGCAACGCTTCGCACAACTTGGCGGCGTTGCCTAATGCACGAGCTCTTATGCAGGAGACGGGCCGAAGTGCAGCACGGCCAACCTGAATTTCTGGTTCTGCTTAGCATTGCTCCTCATCAACGTGCGCGGGGCTGGAAGCAAAGGGGGCAGCCCGGAGCGGGGCTGCCGCGAGGAGTGGCGGCTCGGGGAGCCACTTTACATGGGGACGAACAGCTCCAACGGCTGCTAAAGCACTTCACCCCCAAATTAGTCTGAACCAGTGATTCCAATAGCTACCTAAGGAAACCTCAGCTTTGATCGCTGCGTCTCACAAAGGGTACCAACCCCTGAACGCAACCCTAGCAAATGCCCCACAGAGAGGTTGCGGGTGCCGCTTCTCAGGTGTACAGACGGCAAGGACGTGGGCAGGAACGGGGCGCTCCCGCTCCCCTTTGCCGGCCGCTGAGGCGGTGGGATTTCTCCCCCGGGGCAGCCGGGGCCGGCGTGGTGCTGCCGGCAGCAAGGACGGCTCGGTCCCCGTCCCGCCCGCAGGGGAAGCGGCGGCTGCCAGGGCGGGCGGAGTCGGAAGCACGACAGCACGGGGCGCTGGGGCGGCGCTGGCGGCGGCGGGAGGAGCTCGGCGCTCGGCACTCAGCACTCGGCACAGCGTTAGGGTCGCGGCGCAGCGACGGAGCCGGGCAGCGCCGCCGGCCCCGCAGCAGCAGCAGCAGCAGCAGCAGCAGCAGGAGCAGCAGGAGGAGCCGGAGCCGCCCCTCACCGAGCGCCGGGAGCCGCTGCTCCTGGCGGCCGATGAGCGTCGGGCTGCGTCGCCGCTGCCGCCGCTCCGCGGGTGAATGAACCTGTCCCGGACGGCGACAGCGGCTTCGCCTCGGGCTGCGGCACCAGCCTTCCCCAGGACAAAATGGACGGGTTCGCCGGGAGCCTGGGTGAGCGGCTACGGGCAGCGCGGAGCGGAGGGCGGGACGGAAAGGCACGGGAGGGACGGGGCAAGCCTGGCTCCGGGCGGCAGCCCGCCCTCCTGTCGTGGGGCCGCGGACCGGGGACGCGCACCTGCGGCCGGGCAGGGAGCCGCCGAGGGCAGCGCCGGGCTGCTGGCAGCGCCAGCGGGAGCTGGAGCCGGGGGAGACGCGGAGCTGAGCGCGCAACGCCACCCGCTCTGCGGCGGGAGGGGAGGGAAGCGAGTAGGGAGGGAGGGAGAGAGAGAGAGGGAGGGGATGCCAGCGCGAAATCTGGTCAGCTTCAAACCATCTGTTGCGAGAGCTCCGGCTGCACTTGCCTCCTTTGTTCTTTCCTCGCCGTGGGCTTGCTCTTCCCCGGAGTTACTTACTTGGGCTTGTCTGGCTCGTTCTGTTTAATGCCATTTTAATTTTGCTCCGGGTGCGGAGGGACCCCGGACGGCCAGAGCCCGGCGAGACGGCTTCGTTCCCTCTGCTCCCGGGCCGGGCCGGCTCCGGGGCCGCCTTCTCGGGGCACCGCTCTGCTTGGAGCGCGGGGGAACAGCCCCTGCCCGGAGCTCGGCGTGCTGCGCTGCGCCCAAACCCGAAACATCTATCGCTCATCCGCCTCAGTGCACCCGGAGAGCTGACAGCCTGTGCTCTTTTCGGTTTCGCTAAGACGAAGGCAAATTTTCACCACGTAGTTCAGGAGAAATCTTCCAGCAGCCCTTTCTGAATGTTTCAGAGAATAACTCGTATATAGCATGAAGCCGTCCTAGTTGAAAGTATGACCTGACCTGGTTATTTCTGTATGTAAGAACTGTAGAGTGCGTGCATCCTAATTTGTTTTCGGTGGCATAGCTCTGCCTATTTGGTTTGCAGGACACCGAGCAGTGCGCTGTCTACCTGCAGCCCTTCTGTGCCTGCCCCAGTGCTGCTGCACCCGCTGAACCACTCAGCCCCCCTCCATTTTTGGCAGGAGAATAAATCTGCCCCTCTAAAAATGACACGAAGTTAATTTTACAGCACTTGGGTGAAATCTATAATAATAGGGAATAGTTCTCGATTTTCTGGAAAAGCTGACTCGTTTCAATAGTGGTGACTGTGATCCCAACCTTTAAGGTTTCTGAAATGTCTGCTCCCACGTTTTGGGCACCTGTCCAAACCAAACTGGTGCACCATAATGAACAGTGCACTTCTTTAAAATATACTTTTTTTTTGTTTTTCTTTTCTTACTTTTTAATAAACCTTGGCTCTTGGCCTGATCCACTCTCCTTGCCCAAGTAACTTTTCTGATTATTTCATATCTCCCGATCAAAAAGCAACACGGGGAAGAATTGCGAGTGTTCTATTCTCATTTTTCACTGGGAAAATTGTGCCCGTGGGTGACGTATGCAAATATACCTTGCTTAATATTTATGAACCTCTTTACCCAGTGGTGGAATTGATCACCATATCAAAGAGCACCCGTGTGCCTTTAGCTCGGGGACTACTGCCCCCCATGAGGTCCTTATTCAGAAATAACTGTTGGAAGTGGGGGGGGGGGAGCGTGGAGGGGGAAAGACCCCAACACTGATTTTGAAATAATGGAGCACTGTTTTCCTGCTTGGAGGCTGCTTTCAGAGCAGCGACTCAGTCAGTGTTGTGCATGGAGGCAATGCCCGCTTGGGGCATCCCACTCCCCTTACTGAGGGAGGCTCCATCTGGACCTTTAATTTGTTTCACTGTTTGGTCAGGCAGGCTCTGTGATTTTATTAGAATTTAATGAGGATTAAGCTCAGCTCGGTCTTTTAAAGTATATGTCATGATATTGTTAGTTGGCCTTTGAGTTTGCTTCTGGAGTAAGCATCAATGCACGTTGTTTGCAGGATGTGGGCTGGGAGAGCATGTCCAAAATTTCAGGCTCCAAAATACAGAGCTCTGTGTGCTCCATGCTCCCAGCTGTGCTGCCTGCTTGGTGTTTTGTCATCTCTTCTTGTTTGCTGCTGCTGGTAACAAGCGTGTATCGTGCACAAAGTTGTTTGGAGACTTTTTTTTTAGACATCTCTAATTAAAATCTAATGGCTTGAATTTAATCAGCTGTCTGCTAAGCGCCTTTAGGAAGGCCATAAATTAATGTAATTTGGGGTGAAACGTAAAAATTAATTGTGATTATTGTTGGCAAAACTATGCTATCTCTGTATGTGCGTGCTTTACCAGTCAAGCGAGCTTATTAGGAAGCAAGCTGTCCTTTTAATGCCTCCTGTCATCATCTGGAAGGCAAAATGTTATTACAGATTGTGCCCTCCAGCACAGGCAGAAATACCTTTTTGCATGTCTCCTGCAGTCTAAAATACTTCACGCAGCTGTTTTCTTTTGGCTTCCATACTGAAACTTTTATGAGAATAAAGAGATGAAAGAAACCATTTCATATGTAATTTAAAAAATTGTTTTAGTTGTTGATTTAGGATGTGCTTGTGTAGCAATGTGTCAAGAGTGGAGACACCCACTTACTGTAAAGAGTAAAAATAAATAAATAAAATTGGGCATTATTAGTTCAGTTCCACACCTGAAATAAGTTTTGGCTTGCTCTTTTGATAAAACACTAAGTTATTTCACATTTATTGGGCCTTGAGTGCATTTTCACTACTGCTACTAGCAAAAGCAGTTATTGAATCCCATTTGTTAGGTCAGGTCTGGCACAACTCACATCTAATTGTTTCTAACAGAGCGCTCACTGGGAGCTCAATGAATTGAGGGCTTGATGAATTCTGGCTGTCCATTTTTTCAGATACACCCCTTGAGGTGAGGGAATGTGCTTCTGAACAGGGGCAAGAGATCCAGGGACTCAGACAGGGCTCTTGGGCTTGTGCCTCGTGCCCTTGCCAAGACACAGGCACAGCATGGTGGCTGGTAAGGGTCTGCCAAGTTCTTTTGCTTTGGGGTCCTGATCAAAGCAACCCAGAGGCAGCATCTTCATGGGAAAGAAAGCATTATTAGTCCCACCAACAGAAGAAGACTGTGAGGTTTTGGCAAACAAAGTCAGTGGGAGAAATAGTACAGCTGAGGCAGACAGCAAATATTGCCTTGTTTTTACCATCTCTCTTTTTCATGGTGCAGACAATTGCCTCAATCTCCTCCACTGTCATGCTCCTACCAGAACTGGTGGCCCAGCAGAAGGCTGTAAGACTGCATTGTTGGCAAAACTGTTGGTCTTCTAACTTCAATTTTCACATTCCATCCAATATTATAGTCTATAGTCAATTCTAGCCTTCCTGCTTTCCCATATGTTATAGGAGTTTGTCCATAAGTTGGCTTGTTAGAGGATTGGAGAGGTTTGCCAGCCCTTACTTTGGCTTTTCTGTATTGTGAACCTGCTGAAGTATGGAGAGGGATGCCTTTCTTGGGCCTAAATCTTAACTTTCTGGGACTGATACCTTCTTTGGAGCAACAAATCATAGAACTGTAGAATGGTTTGGGTTAGAAGAGACCTTTAAGACTATCCAGTTGTACCCCCTGCCCTAGACAGGGCTACCCCAGGCCCCATCCAACCTGGTCTTGAGTGCCTCCAGAGAAGGGGCACCCACAGCTTCTCTGGGCAGCTGTGCCACTGCCTCACTGCCTTCTGAGTAAAGGGCATTTCTTCACCACATCTGATGTAAATCTTCCTACTTTTATTTTAAAACTGCACCCCTTTGTCCTGCCGCTGTCTCTCTCCCAGTGCCTCTTGCTGGAAGGTCTGAATACAAAGCATTTGCCACTGTGTTACTTCTCTGGGTCAATTCTCAAGCCGTCCATGTAATACCCCTCTTATTTCTGCAAGATTTCTGGCTATGGTACAAGATCCTTTAAATCCCACTAGATTTAGACTCACAAAGGGTAAGTCGTGGGATGTTCCCGGATGGACAGTTTTCTGCTGTGCTTAGCTGTTGCATTGTTTTCTGTTCTGAGAAAGCTTAAGCTTGTTGAGCTCTGTAACAATAACCAATTGTAACTAAAGATGTGGAAGCCTTCATAAGATGCTTTTAAAAAGAGCACGTCTGTTTCCAAGTTTGTCACCAGAATGATAACAACGTGGCATGAAGAGTGTTGTAGGACTGTCTCTAGCAATGAGGTCTGTGGGAGAACAGTAACTTATAAAAATAAACAAAGAGCTCGCAACTTACAAACTGTAACCATTGGTTCTGTGCGGGAGGCTGGGAAGCTTAGAAATCACTCCTCTCCTGAAGTTTCAGGCAAAGTAATTAAGAATTAAAGGAGAAAAAAATGTGGTTCAGGTTATGCTTTTTTTTTTTTTTTTTTTTTTTTTTTTTTTTTTTTTTTTTTTTTTTTTTTTTCCCCAGAGAAAGAGAAAACAGAAAAGAGTAGTAATGGCTAAGGGGGGTGGCTTTGCTCTTCTGTTGGTGCTACAAGAGGGGAAGCTGGAGAAATGAAATGAAAAAGAGGTTTTCCATACCACACAGTATCTGCATACTGTTTTTGTCACTGTATGTACTGCTTTTAACTGCAGTACATCTTATCGCAGAAGTGGCATGTAGGTCAGATTCATTTATTTTTTAATTCTCAATTTGCATTAAAGTTTGTTTTAAAGTTGTTGGAAAACACGTCTGTAGCTGTTATCTTGGATAACTACTGAGACTTGTGAGAATGTGCTCCTCCTCTGGATATGGAAAGCCTGTGGTCCCTGTTTAGGCTCTGGCATTGCAAAAGCTCCTTCAGCCCTGCAGTGAGAGGGAGAGACTGGCTGCAGCAGGTTGGAGGGTTTGTCATTTATCTGGGCTAGTTTTGTTTTCTAATGGATGCCCTTTTAGGCTGCAGACAATGAGCTCAACTTGATTCACTGGGCTGTGCTCCTGGGACTGCTGTGTGCTATTGTCAGTGTGCTAGCCCTCTGAGAAACAAAACTTTTGGCAGGACATTGATCTGTCCTGCCTGAGAAGGATGGCTGTGACTGGTACCAGGGTGTGAGGGTGGCCAGGAGGACATTGCTTGCTGTGGGAACTCTCTGCTGG